TACTAGATCAGACTCGTAGTGATCAACCTGTTTACAGCCTCCCAAGAGCTGGGATTAGAGGCGGATGCAGTCTCAATTGCCGTCTCAGTGTGCCTGGGGGCAGGGCCAGCATGGCAAGCCCAGGGATCCTGCTTGCAGGCCCTTTAATCCGCTGAGCTATTTGGCCGGCCCTCCCATAGACTTGTGACATGTGCTGACTACAACAGGAAGAGGATGCCACAGGGACACCAGGAGGGGGCTGTTCCAGCTGGCCTCTGTGTGCACCTCCCAGGATCAGTGGGGTTTTCTCTGCAGGAGAGAGGGTGAAGCCGCAGGTCATGGGCACTGTGTGTCCAGCGTAACTAGAGAGGTGGGGGTGCTGAGCAGCAAGCGTCTCGACGCCTTGTACGCCGATAGGTTTTGCACACTAGGCAGTCATGCAGCCTTAGCTTCGTGAGCCCTAGACTGTGACCTCTGAAGTTCTGCTGTAGAGCTATAATTTTCCCTTTCCACGCTGCATGGCGTTTGGAAAGTTTCCCGAGTGTTCTGTTGGTTAAATGAAAGCTAGCAAGAATGCCCACTAGAGGCTGCTGTCCTCCTTAGCGCAGTCTGCCAGGCTCCAAGGCAGCCTGGGCAGGGGATACACACAGTTTATTATTTAAAGGTTTTGCTTGCCTACAGAAGAAACAAATCCCGAATCCCCCATTCCTATTTTCCGTGAGGGAAGTTGATGTTTGCAGAATTTACAGTACCTAGTGTTGTGTCCAGTGTTCATGAGCTTGCCACGGTTAGGGCGGTTGCTGTCAGCTGAAAACCAGTGGAGGAAAATGTCCACTGGGGAGTGGCTTAGGATGATGCCAGGCTTAATTAACAAGCACCCAGTGCAATTAGAATAATGATGCAGTATTGGCTGCTCCCCGCCTGTGTGCTTGTTCAGCCTCTTAGCGGCTTGGTGTGGCATTTCATTGGCACTTTCTAATGCAGAGAGCTGCTGGGCTGGGGTGAATGAGGTGAGCCTTCACCCTCTGTTCTTGTGTTCCAGATCAAGTGGGGAGCCTGCGGCCTTGTGCTGGCAGGCAATGCTGTCATCTTCCTGACAATTCAAGGCTTTTTCCTGGTCTTCGGAAGAGGAGATGATTTCAGCTGGGAGCAGTGGTAGCGCTTGCTCGCCGGCCGAGAGCGCGGGTTCTGCGGCTTCGTACTCTACGCGTGCGCGTGGCGCTCACTGGCGTCTGTATGCGAGATTTATGCTTTTCTATCATGACCACTTAGGGAAGGCTTCAGAAGTACGGCATTAGTTTTCTTTCCAGCAGGTAGAGATCGGATTGTAGTGCTTGCTGGGTTGCTCACAGGGCCATGACGTGCTCAGAACAGGCGTCGGCTCCGCGCGAGGGCGACTGCTTCCTTGGCCAGGGCTCCAGGGCCCTGAGAGTCGGCTTCCTACATGTCCAGGCCCGCACTTCTCCAGATAGGGTCCACAGGTCAAGGGAGGCAGCGGCATCTTGGGCCGCCTTAGAAACGCAGGGCTGAGGGCCCAGCCCAGACCCAGTGTGTTTCTGGGAGCTCTCGTGGGTTCGCATACACATTCATGCTGGAGAAGCTTTGCCCTGGAAGAATAAGTGTGGTTCCTGACTTCCTAACCCCGCTTCGGCTCAGCCGCTTAACCTCAGGGGGCATCGCCGGCTCCCTGTGGAGCCTGTGGGGTGTTCACACGTGTAGGATACGGGCTGCTTGTCACATCTGGCAAGTGTTCTCAGCAGGGAGCGGATGTGCCATCCCTACCTGGAAGCCAGTGGCTGTTGTCACAGTGCTGGGCACAGAGTGACCCTGGAGCCCTGCTGGGGTGTGGGGCTGGGAAGAGTGGGGGCAATCCTTTGTCACTGCCTTTTGTAAGCGCCCCGCCCAGCCTGGCCCTCAGCAGGGCCTGGCCTGTGGCCCTCTCCTCTTGCTGGCTCCGACTTCTGCTTCCTAGGCAGCCAGCAGAGGGTGATCACGTAGTGTTACTGAGGTTTTGGTGTACGTCTTAGCATTCATGTGAAACTCTAAGCCACTCGTAAATGGAGCGTTAGCGATGCAGCGTCTGCACCTCGTCTGTTTATCCACACCTGTTGAGCAAAGGAAACACCCAGTGGATCCACTTGATCTGCTTAACCACCGGTGATTTGAAAGCACTGCTGTGTGGCCGCCCGTGTGTGGAACACTTCGCCTGAGGTTCGGGCCCCCCGCCAGCGCTCCCTCCCGCCTCCTGGACGGAAGAGCATCATCCCTAGTTCCTGGTCCCTGGAGGAGAATGTGCAGTGCTGCCTTTGGACCCTGTGCATGAGCTTGAGTTTTCAGTGTTCTGTTTACATATAGAGTTGTTCAAGTTGTTACTCTCAATATTTACATTAGAAAAATTATGTACTTTATCATTTTAACCAGCATTTCTAATCATGACACTTACTGTATTATAATAAATTTCACTTTTAACACAAAAGTTTGTTTTAAAAAGTCTCTATTCTGTTGTTGCCCTACCTAAAAGAAAATGAAAAGGTAGATTTTTTTTTTTTTTTTTTGTGGAACCAGGGATTGAATTCAGACCCTTGTGCTTGCCAGCGAAGTGCTATTCTTCTGAGCCTTCTCCCTGGCCTTAGAATTTCTTGATGTTATGAGATAGGCAGTTTTAAGCAGTGGTCTGGCCTGCCTAAAAATGTGGGATCATTTTGGGGACTCGAGTTTGGGATGTTGGGTTGGCTTGTGATCAGTTTTATTCTCTCAGAGGGCTTTTACCTTTTGCAAGAGTATGTTGTCTCTGTGTATTTCAAATAACCCAGGTGGCCTTAATGGGTGGCCTTCGAGCATTCTCTTGATTATGTTTTTCAGAATGACTTAAAATATCTGCATACAGAACATTTGCAGTGATCAGTTCTGTGTCAGAAAAGACCTCATTCTGTGGGACCTGAGTGCTGTGTAAATAATGAGCACAGCTGGAAGTGTGTCCCCTGGGAGCACACTGCGGGAGCTCTGTCCCGGACACAGTGCGGGGACATGGTGCGGAGCAGGGCAGGCTCTTCCTGGGTGTGTATCGGGGTGGGGGACCTGTGGCACATGTGCCGCAGCTGGCTGTTGCTTAACACTGAACACTCAGAGGCTCGCCCTCACTGCTCTATGTGGCTCAAAGTTTTTGGACATCCAGGCATATTGACTATGTTCTAAAACCAAGACCACACTCTCAGATAGTCCGCCTGTGAGCACCCTTTGGAAGGCTTTTCCTTGCATTCCTGACTGCTGACCGCAGTAGACTCTGCAGCCCTTTTCCCACGGGGCTGGTCCCAGACTGGGCCTCCTGAAGCAGACTAACGCTCAGAGCTGACCCGTGATCCCGACGGCGCCTGCTGAGCTGGTGTCTGAATCTTGGGTGCCGCCAAGTGTTTGGAGAAGGACGTGGAAGTAGCTACCTCTTCCTAAAAGCAGAGTCCTCCCACTTTGGTGTTTGGACCGTTGCAGCCCCTGGCCCCCTGCAGTCCGGGTCCCTGCTGAGAGTTGTGCAGCGCTCCTCCAGCTGGACGCCTCCCAGCTGCCCTCCACCCCTCCCATGAATGCTTTCTCAGGTGCAGGGTTGCCAGGTACTGTCGGAAAGAAAGTGGTCCCACTCAGCATCCTTGCCTCGAGCAGGAGCGACCTGAGATTGTCTTCCCTCAGCTGAAGCTCCTTCTGTAGTCCCCAGGGTACGGTGCCCTGGGACACAGGTGTCCCTCCGAGAGGGGCCACATGTCCATATAAAGTGAAGATGTCCCGTAGTGTAGAGGATGGCAGTGTGTAGGGACAAGGCCCAGCCTGCATGCTCATTCCCGGCCATCTCAGCTGGCTTTGCTTGCGTAGCCTTTCTTGGCCCCGCTATACTTACTGCTACCTCTTCGTGTCTCCTTGGTGAAGACCCACAGAGACACTGAAACACTTCGTGTTGTTAAGAACATGCCCACTGTTTTCAGACAGGCCCAGACGATGTCACAAAAATGTGCCTTTTCAAAGTTTGCAAAACTGAGACAAAATAGAGTCCACTAAAAATACAGCCATGATCAGCAATTCGTTGAACTGAGGATAGCCAGGAAGCTTGTGGCTGCCACTCTGGGTGCCGGGAAGCTCATGGCCCCCAGTCTGGGCGC